AAAAAACACAAGACCAACATGAAGGGCACACTGAAACAATTTATTTTTCTCATTCTTCCTTTAACTCCCCCTTCACTGTGCCTCTCACGTACAAGGCTTGCCACGTTGATGAAGTCGAGTGTGAACCGTCCACATCCCCGCGTGCCATAACGGCCTACTTGTACGCTTTGAGAAAGAGGCAGAGTAAAAGGGGGGGGGGGGGGATAACACGGGGAAGAGAGATCGAGAGAAGATGAACAAAGGACGACAAAGGGGAGTAAGAGACAGCAAGGGAAAGTACGGAGTGTGAAGATGAAGGCAAACGAGAGGACAAGAAAAGGCTCAAGAATGAGTCTGTCCTTCATTGTAGTGATTGTGACAGACTCTGAGATGATGGCAGCTACAGCCGAGTGTAGCACTGTTTGTAGCTGTGCAAAGGAGAAGGTCGCAGAGTGTTGGTACATTGTCCTGCTGCAGCATGGGGCCAGAGGAATGATCTTCGACATAAACAAGATTGCGGACGGCTTGGCAAGAAAACAGCATCATTATGTAAGAAATCAGTGACATCAGTCATGGCATGGACCATGATGCCGCTGTCTCACAGCTCCCACTGGCCAGAGGCATGTACAACGGCCATGTAATGGCCAGGTACGTGCACAATGCAGGCAGAGATGTGGGATGGAGGACTAAACCACTCACCTGCACGAGCATTGCGTCATTCAAGTTGGCAGTCCCTCACTGCTACTTGTAGAACAGCAATGGTAAAGCCTCTTTCCCTGGTATAACTACAATCCTCTGGCTGTACGCGGAGAAGATCAGCATCAAGCTGAAGGGCAGTAGAAAGGAAGTCTGGTGGTGTATAAAACGGGCGGACTGGTGGAGAATGTGAACACAGATATTAGCTGCAGTCAGACCACAGAGATTGGTGAGGATCTCAGGCTGGTGTGCCAGATGCTTGCCAACAATTTGCATATCACCCACATGGTCTTGCAAGCCCAAAATGTCTCGGGTTGTTTTCTGGCCAGTCATTTGCAGATCACCCATGTGGTCTGCGAGTGGTGGGGCACAAATTTGCGGTTCATCCAAATGATGCTGGTCAGCCATTTGCAGATCCCCCATGCGGTCTAAGCTTTGTGGATGTTAACTGCAATCTGGGCAAATCATGTTCCACACAAACCAGGCACTTACCTGTTGTCATCACCACATTTCACGAAGACAGCAGCCTCTGTTCCTGACCCTAAAGGCAGCTTCTGAATTCGGCAATGTATACCTGCCAATCGGCCCAGTCGCTGGCCAACACGCCCACCCCAGACACAGACACAGACACAGACACACACATGCCACACACACGCACGCACACACACAC